GAATCCCGTACCTGGAATCCCAACTGTAGCAACCCTCCACCCCAAGCACCAACAGACCAGCGAAAAAGCCTCATCACCTGCAATACGCGCTTGTCACCACATAGGGGGGCCCACACACACCCGCAGGAGGCCACACCAATTTGCATCAGGATGCTCTAGCAACAACCATGGCCTATGGGCCCAGAGGCCTTGTATGAAACGGCGTAATCTGAGTCCCTGTGAATCCCCGTGAAACCAAAGCACATTGCATCAAGTCTTGTGCAGGTTCCTGCAAGACCATATTTGAGGACCTCCCCTCAGATTCTGTGGCATGGCCAGTCTTGAAATCGGATGTGTCAACCCGGCGGAAGCGCGCCATTTATCCCAAATCTGGGCTAGGAAACGGTTTGGATGCGGTGTTTGTGGTTTTCACCCTGTTCTTCCCCTGTAGGTCCTTTTTTGGTACTCTTTGAGTACGCTTTTAATATTCTACAGGGTGGGTCCACCAAAGCCACATCCAAACCGTTTTCTAGATCTGGGGCTACTTTGAACGTAGGTACCGATGCCGTAAAGCCCAGTCTGATTCACACCTGCCGGGTGCTTCGATCGACAACTTCTCACCTCCATTCCAGGCTGGTTTATTTTGGCTTGGCTTATGACACTTTGGTCTCTCTCTTTCTTCGAGAAGCCTCCTTGAGGTGACTTCAAACACGAAGCCAACTAGCTGGGAAGGTTCCAGCTCGCTTTGACCTACACCCATTTCGTGGGTGGCGCCTCTAAACGAGTCCCAAACAAAATGGAACATCAAACGGAGCCGCTGTATCGCAGCTGTCCCGACGCAAAAGACAGGCTTTCCATGAAACCAGTTGACACCTGCAGACCAACCATCTCCAGCCTGAGAGGCTGCCCTGCACAGACTTGGACACGTCCTTGCCGTCGTAATACACCGCCGTGACGTCGTCGTCCACCCTCGTGCCAGCGTACCATGCAGTCCTTGCCCCTTATTCAGTTGCCGGATTGGTGGTGTGGATGGGTGGGCTCTTGGGGTTGCGCTATTGGGCAATTGGGCGATAGAGAGGATATCTCAATACATGTTGAATGTTTTGGACAGTTGGTCTGCCCGTTCGTTTCCTTGGAACCTGGGGTCCCTAGTTCGTCCTGACAAATATTTACCTGCAAATGTGTTACGCTGTGTACCGACTGGGCGCTTCTTGTACCTTAAGGAAGTGCGGCTTTTCCATTGACCCTGAAAGCCTGTTTGAGCGTCTTCTTGGCGTCATCGGAAAACACCCGCTTTTTTCGGACCCTGGCACATACTGGGCCGCCTCTGACCAAAGGGTTGACCACCGACCAAGTACGTTATATGCTGCACATTCGACAAAGACACAACCTCAGAACCACAGCTCTCGTTTTGCTGATACTCTTGCAACCTGGCGCGAGCTTTTTGGACACGGCAAGTTCAAGAAAGGAAACCGGCATTGCAAGAAAGCTGCAAATCAAAGAACACCTTGGGCAGACCTACAAATGTTCAAAGAGAACAAAGGAAGCAAAAAAGGTGTCCAACTCCTGAGGAAGTTACCATCTCCCAACCCAAACCCAAAAACGCACACGCACACACAGTGTAAGGGTTCCGTTCTTGAGGAAACCCTGAAAACATGACCGCCTTTTCAGATGGTTGTTCATGGCCTGTGTGTGTGTGTGTGTGTTTGTGTGTGGGTTGCCCTTATTTTCACACCCCAGTTATGTTGACAGAAAATTGACATGACGAATACTTCTCCTCTAGTGCCATAATCAACAGGCAGCACGCACGCACGCACGCAGGCACGCACGCACGCACCCACACACACACACACACACACAACCCGACCGGCCTGATCTCGCAAGTGGCGACTGCCTCAAGAGTGCCAGGGCATCTGAAAAAGGGACACGTGATGCGGGAGGGGCGGGAGTGTGAACAAGCGGGGAGTCGAGTTCCACTCATGCTCTGAGGCGCTAAATGCATAGACCGGTGAAGGAACCCCTGGTTTTGTTCGGCCTGGTGGCTTGTTTGTTGTAATTGATTCACAACAAGCGGTTTGTTTTGCACATCGACTTGGGGGTCACACCCGGGTCTCGCATGTGTTCACACGCCTTCGATGGTGGTTCAGTTGGCCTGCTTGAGAAACGGTGAACCGTTGTAAGAGTCAAAACGGACTTTGACGACACAAAGAGCCAAAGCAAGGAGGGTGCGTTTCTGAGATGGAAAGCCATGGCAGTGGATCCTGCAGTGGACGATGAATATTGACATTACAACGTACTGACTTCGGATTTGTTATGCAAAGAGTCAGCCTGGATCATAGTGCCGGCACCCCCAAAGGAGCTTGCTACATGGTGTCATTCCGCAGCAATACACTACTATGGCAGCACAAACCAGACCGCAAACCAAAGAGCATGGCGTGCATCGACCGGCAAGCCTGCAACCTGCAAGCATTCGACTCGGGATACGGTGTTTCTTTCCTGGAAATTCACAAGTGTAAAGACAACGCAATGTGGCAAATGGCAAGAGTAACCACCGATCCGTACATTTTGGAAAAAACCGCGGTAGCCCCCCATGAGCCCCCCTAGCGGGGCTCTCTTGTTCCTCGGAAGAAGCTTGACACCCCTCGGCAGAGAAATGGTTCTGTGCAAGACAGGGGGGGTCCCAAAAACTTGTGGGTGTCCTTTTGGCTTTCCTTTAAACCACCCAATAAAGGGCACCTTCAAAATTCACACACACACATATTTGCACAGAAAATAAATGCCCGTCTCCCAACGCATTCGTCAAGAGCCCAAACCGCAGAGATCCCCAAATCGCCCCTGAAACGCTGAGCCCCGCTGTTCCTTGGAGTGCCATTAGTCACTACCTCCCCACCCCAGCCATCACCAGGGTTCAAAGCTCCTCGAAGCTCTCCGGATGCGCGTCAAACATGCAGACATATGAGTTATCCTTTTCAAGCCCCCCCAAAAAAAAAAACGGAACCCTTCTTGAACCATAGCCCGGAGCCGGTCCAAACCACTCTGGAACTTATTTGGAGGCACTCAAATGTCACCAAAACAGAGTCCCAAACAAAGGGCGACCAAGCACCGACACCCGTAGCGTCCACCTCCCAAGTCCCTTGCCTGGCAAAGGATCACTGAGGCCCTCATGGAGATGTGGCTGTGCCAGGCCTTACGCCACAGTTCCATCGGTCCGTTGCAGAACAAGTCCCAGTCTCCGGAAAGTCTGATTGTCTAGTGAGGAACCTTGCACAAAAATGAGCAAGCAGCCAGCAGCCTCCGACTTGGCTTATGTTCGAACTACGCGAGACCCGCGGCGTACGAATGCAAACATTCGCACACTGTGTGACATGTGCCAGCTGGCAGCTCCAGTACCTCACATCCGATTGGAATGGCCGTGATTGCAATTTGTCGTATCTCTTGCGGTCCTATGCACCTCACACCTCAAATACAACCAAATCAAGCTCACAGGAACCTGTCTCTGTCTCTGTCTCCAGCTGCCTCTATCATCTCTGCGTGTCTCCCCGCCTGTCTGTAATGGTGTGTCTGGCTGTCTGATTGGGTCAGTCGCCAGTAACTACCCGATCATGCACAACGGCCAAAAAAGCTGAGCATCTCATCAACACCAACCTGGTTCTCACAAAACATGAGATACAAGCCAAACCGGCGCCAACGAGAGTCCAAAATCTGCCGCACTCCCCAAATGCATTCAGTTCACCCAAAGAAAGACCTTTTGGCAATCGGGCAATCCCAATGGCCTCTCCCCCCGTCCCATCCAACTGTCCGCCCGGCGTGGGCGACGATCCGCACGTAGCGCGCTTCCACGGGGAAGGTAAAGTACACCTCGTTCTCCGAGTGCTGGTCGAGGTTGCCCCCGGTGCCTCCCGAGGCTTGCCACGGCGCGGGGCGAACGGAAGCTTGGGATTTTGCATTCGGAGTGTCAGAAGGATTTGCCTGGTGAAAGTGGGAGCTTGGTCAATTCCCATTCAAAGCTTCGAATATTCGACCTATCACTCTGGAGTGACTTGAGCATGGGGCCAAAAGGATTGAGGATTCTCTGAGGTGAAAGAGTCCGGGTGAGTCGCGGTGACTGGTCGGCGGCAAGGGGACCTACCGCAACACGCCAAAACAAGACAAGGCGGTCAGTGGAATCGATTCAGGTTCGGCGGGTACTCAAGTCAACCAACTTGCAAAGGCTTGTTGGCCCGCCAACAAGCGCTTTGGAGCATGAGGCCCATCGTCCCATACACCCCTGAGCTTGATCAGCTTGGAAAGGCCAAGCTAAGAGCACCCGACTTTTCCCAGCCCGTCTCCCATATTGAACTCAAATTGGATGTCCTTTGCCATCCAGTAAAACCTTCATAGACTCTTCGTAGATCTTCACACGTTTCTCCCGGGTCCGCTTGCATCTTGCCCACGTGACTCCCGGCATCCGGCTCATGGCTCAAAACCTGGACATGGCGCGACCGCCTGTCCATGCCGGGTTACGACCGCCTGAGGGTGGCAGACTCACCTTGAGGTTCATGGAGAAACTGTCCTACCATCAACGGGGGATGTTTTGTGGCGGCTGGCAGCTGGCGGCTGGCCACCAGGCAGCCAGTCTCCCTCGCCCCCCACCAAGTGCCTCCAGGGGCGTCGATGAAGCGCCTCAAATGGTGGGGCAAGCTACTGTACCCCTTTGCATGGCCTCGTACTCAGTGGCTCAGTTTGGTCGCCTCAAAGAAGGCTGCTTTCTGACTTGTAGGAAACTATCACTTGCTACATGCCTGGAATGGGCTCGGAGCTTTCCTCTTGACATCCAGTCGGAAGACTTAGGCTGGCCCACTTGCTTCATAGTTGCTTCGCAGGAACCTAGACCAGGGGCTCGGTACAGTGTTTGGCTTATGGCTGGTCAGGCTTGGTACGGGGTTGCTGTTTGCGGCACGCGATTCCATGCGGATAGGTCGATGGGCTGATTTTGACAGTGTCCAATCAACGCGAGGCTTTTGGCAAGTTCCATGTGGGCGGCAAAAGGCCTTTTTTTCCCCAAGACTATATCTGTCAGCACATGGTTGAACCTGGGCATGCCTCCAAGAGCAATCCATTCCATTCCATGTCTAGGGTGTCTTTCCATTAATCACTCCAAGCTTGAGGTCATCAAAAGAACCACCCTTTTCCCCTTTTTTCCCCTGCCAAAATAGGGCTCCTGACAATTGTGGGTTTTTCCTTTTCCCTCTCAATACCAACTAGGTCCTCCAGTAGAGAGGTTAGAAAAGGGGTACCCCCACAAAAAAAGGGGTAAAAGGGCACTACTGGGGGACCTCGCCAACCAAAAATGGCACCCTTTCCGGAAAAAAGAAAAAGAAACAAATCCTAGCCGCACTCATTCGGTCCGCGGCGCTTGCCATCGGTGGAGGTCTGCACCGAGTAGGCCGTGACCCACTGCCCTCGGTCGACCCGACCTTTCGTCACCACGCCGGTCACCGAGGCCACGATGCCTGGCCGGCGAGAAGATGAGCCAGCGGAGTCGGAAAATATCACCCCATGGGTCCTTTAGTAGGGAGGGTTGGAATTAGGGTACCCTCTTTTCTCTGTAGTCTGTTTTAGTAGGGGAACCCTCCCCCAAAAAAGGGGCAAAAGGGCACTGCTGGGGAACCCAGCCCCGGAACTGAATCGCCTGAACTGGTTTCCGTTTAGGGGAGAGCTCGAGATGTCACCCCCGAACAACCTCCAGCGGGTTTTTTGGGGAAGGTGGCCAACGAGAGGGACAAAGCGGCAAGGAGCTCAAAGGTTTGTGCTTAAAACCTCAAACTGTCCACGGAATAACAGAATGAAGCCCAGCTTTTAGGGTTCGTGAAATCAGGACCTCTCCAGTTGTCTTCTTTCTCCCGTTAAAACCATCCAAGAAGGGATGCCGTTCTTAAGACAGAGCCAAATGGGTGGGGTGACTCTTGGGGGCAGTTTGAGCAGAGGGAGGCAGTTTTAGCCTCAGCCAATGCTGGTGCCCAAGAGCAGCGACTCCATGCAGAAGACACCAGGGAAGGCCTTCCTATTCGAAACAGCAATCGACCCCAAAGAAAAATGAAGGGAAGCTGGCCCTTCAGGAAAAAATGAGAGGGGTAAGGAGCAAAAATCAAAAAACCCAAGGTTCACCTGCTCATCTGGCAGGGGGCATTGCCACCATTAGCAAACCCAGCACGGTGCGCGTTCGGGCGGACGAACTTCTTCGGTTGGTCGCTAATGGATTGAACGAGACCCTTCTAATAGTTATTGACTATGATTAAAGATTTCAAACCATACGTATTGGACAATATGATGCTATATGCATGTGAATATGTCTTAGATTTTGTTTGAAAGGGAAAGAAAGGATATGATAGGAGGAATAGACATCGTGAAACTTCACGATGTTTTGGTGTGTGATTGGCTGGGGGATTGGATCGTGCGTGGGCCTTGACAGCCTTAACTTGTGGCTAAATGTGTGTTTAAACCATCAACCTCTGCCGCCTTTGACGGCAAAGCTGCTCTTGGTACAGTAAGGCAGGTGATGATGCGGAAATGCGGGCATTGCTGGCGACGTTGGTTTGGGCACCATCTCTGGATGACCCTGGTGATGCCAATAATGGGTGGTGACGGCCAATGATGCTGGTGATGCAACTTCCGTTGGCACTTGATCAAGAACGTGGAGACATGCCTCACATGTGCAGCGCCACTGGCCAAATGCCTTTGAAAAGGCTCTCGGGACAAAAAGTGCGTTTGTTTGAAGGAAGCCATGCCAACCTCTGCTCGCGGTCGACCTCCGATCACGAATAAATAAGCCGACACACTGTTAGCTGATGTTCGTTGGTTGGTTTGTCGGCTGGCTGGGTGGGTGGGTGGCTGGTGGCTGGCCGGCTGGGCTGGCCGGCTGGGCCGGCCGGCCGGCCGGCCGGCCGGCTGGCCGGCCGGCCGGCTGGCTGGCTGGCTGGCTGGCTGGCTGGCTGGCTGGCTGGCTGGCTGGCTGGCTGGCTGGCTGGCTGGCTGGCTGCCTGGCTGCCTGGCTGGCTGCCTGCCTGCCTGGCTGCCTGCCTGGCTGCCTGCCTGGCTGCCTGGCTGCCTGCCTGGCTGGCTGGCTGCCTGGCTGCCTGGCTGCCTGGCTGCCTGGCTGCCTGGCTGCCTGGCTGCCTGGCTGCCTGGCTGCCTGGCTGCCTGGCTGCCTGGCTGCCTGGCTGGCTGCCTGGCTGACTGGCTGCCTGGCTGACTGGCTGGCTGGCTGCCTGGCTGGCTGGCGGGCTGGCCAGCTGCCTGGCTGATGGCTGGATGGCTGGATGGATGGATGCGATGGGTGGCTGGCTTGCAATTGAAGAAGACAGCTGCTAGCTGTTAGGTCGCCATGCCTAGCATATTCATAGGTGCTGGTCATGCCGGGCAGTTGATGGCAGAGGACGTGATCAAGTACGAGGTATTGATGCTGGTGCCTGCAATCGGAGAGATGTGAGATCCTTCTTTGCGACATCAGGGAGACTGGGCGGGTTGCTTGGCTGCTATCACTTTGTTCTGGTGGTCTGGTTGGTCTCGCAAGAAAGGCTATATGGCGCAACGGTGTCAGGTGATGACAATGATGAAGTTGACGAAGCTAACGTGGGTCACTCTTGGACACGCTGGTCATGATGCAGCTGAAATTGAAACAAGAAACAAGCGGACAACTTCGGCAGTTACGTTTTCCTTTTCCCCCTCGAGCCTAGGTCGATCTGCATCCAGGATCCGTCGACATTCGTTCCTCAAAGCTCGAAGGCAGTCCACCGATAGTTTGTCAGGGTGTTCCGTATTAAAATTCTTAGCCATGTAGTGCACAAATGCAAAACACAAAAAAATGCAAAGTGCATATTGAGCTCGCAGTAAACTGTGGTTGGTGGCAACGTGCTATCTTTGCGGGGACTCCGAGATATCTCGCCTGCAACCAACCAGCTGGATTGTCAACTCTGGAATTGCGTGCCAAGTCCGCAAACAGAACGGATGCCTCAATACACAATCCCCTCTCAAACCCTTACTAAAACGGAAATCCAACGCGGACACTGCTGATTCCGCAACCAAACATCAATCCCAGATAATGCACGTGGCCAACCCAAAGCCCGCTAAAAACACTCCCTGTAACTCAGTTAGGTTGGTATCAGTGGCCAGCCCCAAATCCACTCGTTGAAACCAGCCGGTCGAACAAAAGCGTGCACCAGCATGACCCGGCGTGGCTGCCAAGAGTGTCAAAACAAACATCGAAGCTGATCGAAGCTGTTTGCGCACATCTGCCAACAATTGCTCGCACATGACTCACCCTGAGCCCTCAACAGTCCTCAACTGGGCATCCTTGAAGCCTGCCCACATCTAAGCTTTTCCAAAGACCATGGCCAGTTCACAGCAACCACTGAGTGCGGTTGGCACATAGCCATCTCTTTATTTCCGCCTGCGCCATGAATCTGTATGGGCGTTCAAGGTGTGGTGGAGAAAGCTGCATGCTCACGTGATGCTTTGCTTTTGTAAAACAGGCATGCACTGCGACCCAATATCCTGGTCAAAAACTCGCTGAAGGCGAACAAAACCGAATGCAGCGCCCAATTAATCCAAACTCATCGTCTCAGAAAGCAAGGATGCTTCCCCAGGGTCCATGACCATTCTCCAGACATGATCAAACCATAGTCTGAATGGCGTTGCAGAATCTGGCTGTTTGTGAGAAGGTCACGTTGTTGCTTAACCTGGTTGCTGCTTGTCTGCTCATCTTCCCAAACTTCAGGCCCCAACAAGCTGGCTGTCACAATTAAGGTTGACATCGGGAGGTACGCAGGGAACCTAAGGGTAGGCAAGAAGGGAACAACGCCTTGTAGTGGCAAACGAACAGTCAAAGGAATTAGCCGAATCTCTCTCCCAGGTTCGAAGAAAATTTCCCCGGCAAGAGACCCCGAGTAGTTTCGAGCGCGGCTTAACTTGACGACGGTGGCCGGAAGCATAGAAACACGCTAAATTAGCAACAAGCCCAACAAACCGTAATCACGTCAATGTCCCGGATCAAGCAAAGCTTCTGCAAGTTCTGCTGAGCGAGCAGAGCATCATGTTTCACAATCTCTCCAATCTCTCCAATCTCTCCTGTCAACTTCTCTTGCGCACGATACTGTGAGTTGAAGCTGTGGGTGAAGCTGCGCGTGATGCTGTAGGCGATGTTGCGCATGATGCGGTGCGTGACCCTGTGTATGATGTTGCCCTGATGCTCTGCAACCTCTTTTGCCCAATCTTTCATGTCCGTTTCTCTTGCCATATCTGTTTGCTGCGGAAGAAGGCTGGCAGCTATACCTGCTTCCGCTGTACTTCGCATGCTACGTTTGCGACTTCAATCGGAAGATGCGGAAGTGTACTTCCCGTGCTGCTTTTGCACTTTAAAGTTGCGATTTCCGAGCTGGATGGAGATGCGAGGGAGCGCTTTCCGATAATAAAAGTTGTGATTCTCCAGCGCCCGTCGCGCGCAACTATTGCACGTAGAAACTTGTTATGTTTCAGTCGCACTTTGCTTCCTACTTTTGTACTTAAAGTTGCGAATTTCGAGCTGGAGCTGTGAGAGCGCGCTTTCAGCGCGCGTCGTGAACAACTTTTGCACGTAGAAACTTGCTTTCTTTCAGCCGGAGCAGCGGGAGTGCACTTCATGCACTACTTCTGCGCTTAAAAGTTGCGAGTTTGAAGCTGGAGCTACGGCAAAGCTCTTCGCGTACTGCTTTCGCGCTTCAATCTGACGACTTTGTAGCCGGAGCTGCGGGAGCGCACTTCTGGACGTAAAAGTTGCGATTTGCCAGCGCGAGCGCGCGATTGCGGAAAGCAGGCGCGTAAACAACGAGACAACTTCCGAGGACCATGTCGCAAGCAAAGGAAGCAAGAAAAACGCACGGCGCCACAGCAAGTTTCGACACACAGGATCTGCGCGGAGGGTTCCCCAAGAGCATGACACATTCGCACGGTGCCACGGCACTTCGCCACGCACGATCTCCGCAGAAGGCTCGCCGCGACTAAGACACATTCACGGCGCAACAGTGAGAGCGCTTCAACACGCACGATCTCCGCAGAGGGTTCGCAGAGCTCAAGACACATTCGCACGCCTCCACAGCGAGAGTCGCCGAGCACAAGACGCGTTCGCACGGTGCCACACCGAGAGTGCTTCGACGCGCGCGATCTCCGCAGAGGGTTCGCCAAGCTCAAGATTGCTGCGCTGGCCATGGACACCCGTCAACCGAAGATCGGCACGCCGCCACGGCGAGAGTAAAGTTTTGAAGAAGGATCCGTTTCATGCGAAGCTGTCGAGCGCAAGACAACTTTTCCCTCAGACTCCAAAGGCCTTGTGCCCTTCCCCCGGACCCCAAAAATGACCGCTTTGTTTAGCAACACCTTCGCAAATGAGCATGATGCTATATGCAACGCTGCTGCATCTTCAGGGTGCTTTTGCTCCAAGGTGGTTCTACAGACTGCCTCTCGGCTAGAACGAGGCTGAGGACATCCAAAAGGTGGGGCCCTACCATCAAAAAAACGCGTTTGGCGCGAGAATTCCTCAAGAAACACACCCCCCGTCAAAGTGCGAACCTGCCTGGGCCAGGTCTCTGCCATCAATCATGCACTTTGCAGCAAAAACAAGCGTTTGCCGCGAGGCGTCTTGAAAAAACATAGCGCGAACCCGTAACTGTTGCCCCTGCCAGCAAAAGCCGAAAAATGCGCACGGCACCACAGCGAGAGTGCACTGCCAGCGGTCACTCGAACTTCGCACGAGACTGTCGCATCGAAGACTTTTTTCACAGGGCCAACACTTTGAGCGCGGACCCTCGATCTAACCCAGCCTTAACTCTTGCCGCAAGAACCCCTTAGTGGAAACACCATTTGGGGAAAAATGTTCGCCAGGCGGCGGGAACACCAGGCTAGAAGAGAGCCCATCATGGATCTGGCGTGGCCTGGCGATGGCGAAGCGACAAACATGTGCGCAAATGGGCTGGGGCTCGAGCTGCCAAAGTTCGCAAAGCGGCCGGAAGTCGCACGATGGGGGAAGTGCGTGGTTGTTGATACGGCTTGGCCGTAAAATTAGTGCAGCTCTTTGGTTTTGATTCAAAACCAAGTCACACCAAGGTATCATCAAAAAGAGATGCATCCACACATCGGGTCGCACTCCATTTCCATCTCATGGGGCCCTCGGGGCCGAGGTGCATCTTTCAAGGTTCCAAAGGGAGAGTCGCACTGCTGTGGCGATAATTCTCCGGGGGTCTTCGGTTCGTCATCTACGCTGCGTCGCTCTTGTTGTTCATCGGTGACGTATGCGCAGCCAGAGCAGCGGATTCGAAAACAAGCCCATGTGCGTCAAAGAGTTGTGCGGGCTGCGAGAGAAACCGCCCCGGAGAACCTGGCCCAACTTACATACTCCATAACGAGAGTCGTTTCCCTCGAATCGTCGACCTGACGAATGGCATTGTAGGTTGTTTTATTGGGGCCAACACCATGCGTCGATCGCGCCAAGTTGCCCATCTGACCAAGTGAACAAGCAATTTCTCTGGAGAAGACGAGCCAACTCCTGATTGCAAAGCGCAAGCCTGCAATTGATGTTGTGCAAATGATCCCGTCCGAATATCATCAAATATCAACGCCTTTTCTCCCTCCATGTTGCAAATTGGTCCCGCAAACATCCTCCCGCGACCTTGGTCGGGTTTTATGGATGGGTACACCAAGTGAGTCTTCAACTGCTTGAACCTCGGGTTTGCGGCTCAAGTGCAAAACTCCGGGAAGCCCCTTTCACGGGTTGAAACGTTCTTTTCCAACTCCTTACTAAGGGGAACATCCGCAGTCCGTATACGAAAAAGAGAAGCCCCTTTTTTCGGCCGGTCGATTTGCTAGGCGCGTCACCCTTTCTGCGGGGGGGGGGGGGGGGGGAAAGAAAATGGCCAACTGAGGGTCTTAAAATAGGGGACCCCCAAGAAAGGTATTGGCTTGCTTTTGGCTTCCTTTTCAAATCCCTCCGAACGGGGTATCCTCGAAACTACCTTCGATGGCCTTGGCCAGGCTCGTTGTTGTTCCAGACCGAGGAGTATGTGCGCTGGCGCTCGCCGATATCTTGCACCGCGTTGGAACAGTCGTGCTCGATCTGGCGAGCAGACACCCAACTTCACTCTTCGGCTAGCCATGCATATACATATGTATTTGTATATATATATATATATATATATACAAATGCTTGTGAAGGGCCATACTCTCTGGTCAACATAGGACTTGGAGATTGAATGTTCCATTGAATTCTATTGACTTTTCGGTCGATAATTGACATTGGGCTCTTCTGGTTTCAATTGAAATCGATTGACTTTTAGACCATGTCGAAATGTTCAATCTCGATTGATGTTGCTCAATGTCGAAGCCTTTGGAGAGCAGACCGTCCAAACTTGCTTCCGGTCTTCCCGAGGCTTGCCCCATTGGAATTCCGGCTCCGGGAGTTGGGCAAGGCCGTCTCGTGCGCGCCATGCTCGCGCCATCGTGCGGGGGGGATCCTCAAGGCGACTTCGGCAGAGGAAACCGTGACTTTGGGGGCCAAACATTGCGAAGCCGCTCTGCAAGCCACGTGAGCAGGAAGCAGTCACTCCCCTGAAACGAAAACACCAACGCCAGCTGTCAAGCTTTATGTTACGAGTGCAGGGGTTCTGGAGCCGGGGCAACTTGCCCAGCTTGCCTAGTATGTTCCCAGCGCAAGGCCAAATGCCACAGGCAGCATTTCACTAGTGTCCCCAGTTGTCAAATGTGGATCTGAGTTTTTCCTTCGGGGAACGAAAGAGCATCACTGCCAGGATCCCAAGGCAACCTTCCCCCACCACACCCAACTCCTCCCAACACCCAACTCCGAAAACTAAACTTGCCCACCACAGACCCCAACGCAAAACTGCAAAGCCCACCCCCCTGCCCCCAAACCAAAACCAAAACCCTCCGCACCCCCCCTTTTCCCCTCCCCCCCGCAAGACGCGAGCGAAACGGTGCCCGGCCGGCCGCCGGCCTTCTCGATGATGGCGGTGGCCGAGGGACGGTCCTCCAGCTCCGTGCACTGCTCGTAGAGGTGGCACCACCCCGTCTTCCGGTAGAAGACCGCGCCCTTGCCTCGATTTTCCACTTCTCAGATGTTCCAGGGGGGAGCGAAGCGTCTTCCCACCACCACCACCACCACCACCACCACCACCACCACCACCACCACCACCACCACCACCACCACATCCCCGGATGAGCCTGAGATTCCCTTCAGGCCATGGACCATACGCACTCGGAACGGGTTCCTTCACCCAACTCGTTTGGTTGCCCCACGCAAAAGCAGAAGGGTTCGATCGAGCCCACCAAAAAGGTGGCCAATTTTGCGAGCAATGAGGAACACCAGCCGTGGACAGAACTCCTCATGTTAATGATGTCCGCCAGTCAGCATGCCACAACATCGTACACGAAGCTCGCTGTCAGACCCTTCCTGGCTCCTAGAAGCCCCTGAAAATCCTCGCGCAAGTACTCGATTTGCGCCCCTTTACAATGCTGCAGACAAGCATGTGGTCTTGTACATGTGGAGGTACGAACGGATGGATGTATACATTAATACATGGACAGACCGAAGAACAACAGGCAGGCACACTATGGGCTATTTAGCACCAGGACAATCGGTACGTACATCTACTTTGGCAGGCACAGCAAAAATACGATTGGCTGATTCTGTTCTATATTCAGTCTACCGCAAAAAAGCAACCACCTATCTTTGAAGGAGACCCCAGAACTGGTGCCACCCACGTTCATGATATGAATTTCAATGGGGAATACCCTCCCAAATGCCGGTCCCCTTTAAACACCCACCTAAACAATGTCCACAAAGAGGCTTCCAATCAAAAAACCAAATCCACGCCCCCCGGGTGTTTGTCCCGTTTCACCCAACCCGCCCGCCCGCGCAGAATCTCCGAGCAAGCTACAGGCCCGGGGCGGGCAATGCAGCGCCTGCTCGTTGTCCGCGCACTTCTGCTGGCACCTGGGTGTCAAAAGAGGGGTGATACCGGAAGGTTCCGGGGACTTCGTGGCTAGTGTCCTGCTTACCCCTTACATGACGGATGAGCTGAAAATAGGGGGAACCCCAAGATGACCCGGTGTCCATTTCGGTGTCCCTCGCCAGCCTGACAGGGTAGCCTCAGAAAAACAGAAACCCCTGGAGACCAAGCCCAGGGAAATGCTCAACAGACCGGCTGCCACCCAGAGAGTGTTGGCCCACGAAACCACGCCCAATGAACCTACAAGTCCTGCGTACGTCCCAGAGGGAAGCTTTCGTAGGTTTCGGGGGCCGGGCGTGTGCATTCCACCTTCTGTCCAGAAAGTGAAAATCCAACGCCCAGTCGCCGGTAAGGCCTCTCTTTTTAAACGAACAGATGCCTTTTGAAGCCCAAAGATCCAGCCAGTGGCCAGGCTGGGGGAGTCCCGGAAAAGACCAGGCCTCGGGGTCTCATGGGTCCTTCACCCGACTTGTGGGACAGCTGACACAAAGACCGTGGCATCTGGCAAAAAAAAAACACTCCAACTGACAGCCGGGGGCGAAGGAACTCTGGAACAGGCAAAAGTGGCTGGTTGGGACAAGTCCCCATTAGAGACCAACTCCTGGAATCAGCGTGCAGCTCGTTGTCCAGAGGCTCAAAGTATCTGAAAAATTGCAAAAATCCAAACAAGAAGAGGAAAGGGCGGCCACCTCCAATGCATTGGCAATTTGTCAAAGTGAAAGCAGGCACAATTTGCCCAAGCACCGCAAATTGCTGTCAAGAGCGCTGCTCTATTGTCAGACCTCCCCACCCGTCGCACTTCGACTTCTTGTCAAACCTCGGCTGCATGCATCACTCGCAAAACAATTATCATCCAGTGAGAACCCAAACACAGGATACATGCAAAGTGTTCCATATGTAGATTAAATTTAGTTTGTGTCCAAAATAGAGTTGACACCTTCTGGCTCCGATCGGAAGGGTTGAATCGAGGCCTTCAATTCCGGCCGATCCGGGCAGCCATTCCTGATGGCTCCTCCGAACCCAACATCACTCTGCTTTTTGTTTCCGGGCCTTGAACTTCTCTGAAGAGCTGGTCATTTTCATCCAATGGCTGGTGTCTAGGGAACACTTGCTGGTCTCTTGGCCAGAGTTGGCCCTAAACGAGACCTGAAAAAAAAAGCAACGGGGCCGAGGTCTCAAGCCACCTTCAAGGCAGCACCCCCGTCCCGTGCATCCAGGACGCATGCGACACAGGGAAGGAAAAAGTAAGGCTCTCTCTCTCCTCTCTCTCTGTCTTCGCCCGAGCAGCGTGTACGGCTTGCCCTTGCAGACCTTGTTCGGCACCAGCGCAAAGTCTCCCTGCAAGAAACCACCGGAGCGAAACTCAACGGCCGCGAGCGCGAAATACAAGACTGTCAGGAACACACGTGCCATGGTCAAAACTATCACTGCTTTTGCGGGGGTCAGGGTGGTGGCTCCTTTATGTAAAAATCCTTTTGAGGTTTTCTTAAAACAACCATTGCCTCACAACAGAGGTAGACCCATAAGCGAATTACCAGCCTTATTCGCTCCGCAAATGGCGAGAGAGCATCCCATTCAAATTGCTTTCATGTGTGTGGCTCAAAATTGATCAGCTAGGGCAATCTGTTGGTAATCTTTGGTTCCATTCACCAAGGCTCCATTTTGGTTTCCATCTGTTTGAGCCAAAGCCACATGGCCATGGTCAAAAGGCCGGCTATCCCCCGGCAAACATCCCAACCCCCACTAACATAGGTTCTAAAATGGGTGGTGCACCTACCCCATTGGTTTTGACCCACAGCCGCAGCGATCCCATGGGACACCACCGGCTGGGCGCCTCCTCGTAGCAGTGCGCCGAGATGAAGCCGACGTTCTTCCCACCGCGCGCGTCCTGGTCCTCGTCGGAGCGGGCGTTCATGCCGTAGCAGTGCCCGTTGTAGAAGACCACTTGCTTGCACTCCTGGAGAAGAAAAAAACGATACATTCTCACCCCCAAGGGCTTGATGTTATCCTCATGCTTTTTGATTGCACTGCCAAAAACTTGCTGGTTCTCAGCAGGGAATGCGGGGATGAGCCCTCACCATCCCGTTTGCTCCGCACCCCGGAGGACAAGGCTTCGTGTTCATCCAACGTCCTTTTGGGGCTCTTTTAGTCGGTCAAGCCCTCCAGCTTTCCCTCAGCCAGCCGAAAAAAAGACGACGCAAACAAGCTGTGTGTGTGTGTGTGGTTGATTGAGGGTACCCGCTTTGGGGTGTTCAAAAAAGAGAGCGAAGGCAAACTGCAAACCACCCATTTTGGGGGTCCACCTATTTTGACACATACCCAGTTCCCCTCGCCCGCGTGAGTGATCCTTGGCGCGCTCGCACAGCAGCAAGCACTTCTGCCATGAGCCCACGTAGGAGCCGTAGGCCACGTTGCCCATAGTGATCCTCAAAAGATTCTCCAAGAATTGTCTCAAAATGAGACCAAAAAAATTGTTGGCTTCCTTTTGGTGTCCAAAACCAACCACCCAAAGGGGGGTGCCAAAAAAAAGGACACACCCATTCTTCAACACCCTGAACGACATCCCCCCCATTCACACAGCCGTTTTGCCAAGGGAAGAAACCAACTTCCCACTAGCTGGTCTTGTTCACCAGCCCTTTGACCGAACCATCGTCGCCTTTTAAGGCAACCCCCCCTTTGCTTGGCTTCAAAGGTAAAAGGAAGCCAACCTGAGGCACCCTCTCAAGAACTACATTCTTGAGCTTGTTGCTTCAGCGTAGCCTTGTTTTGTCGGGGGGTCCCAGCCCACTTTTTCGGGCCTCGGCCCAAGCGATCCATCCGAATCGGCCGAGGCGCTCCACCTGGCTCCCGAGCCACCGCTTCCGCCAGTTCACAAAGGTGTGGCACTTCCGCTCCGCCTACCGAAGCCACCGAAGGCGTGGGTTCCTTTTGGGGGCCAATTTTTGGGTTCATTCCACCACAATCCCTACAAGTTGCACCAGCAAGGTCTGGGGAAGTCTTCGTTTTCGGTGTGTCGTTTGGCACAAACGCCAAGCCCTGCACAGCTCCCGCGATGGCTCCAATCCAAACTGCTTCCACGCGAACGCATGGATCCAAGGCGTGTTCCAACTCCATCACCTAGGGTTGGGCCGACCTCATGTTTACCCAGGTTGAAACATCCAGTGTGTAAGCAGCCTCCTTTTAGTTAGGGGCACCAGAGACTGCTTGTCAAGGCCTGATTCCCCTTGTCACATGTTGACCGCACCCTTCCAGCCATGATGGGCGCCAGGCAATAGAGGTCCGTCTAGATTTGCAACACATGTCCCTTGCCCAAGAAAGGGAAACTCCCTTTGAATTGAGGAAAAAAGTGGAGCTGGAACATTTGGGCGTTGCCCAGAGTTGGGCACCGCCCCTTTTGGACGGCTTGCACAAGGAAAATACCCTTCAAGGGAAGTATAGGGAACCCAAGGAGAGAGTGTCCCCATAGGGGACCCACAACCACGTGTCTTGACTTCAGTTCCCAGCAAAGATGCAAAATCTCCAACATATGTGTCCATTCATCTATCTGGTAGTTTGGGTTGGTCATTTGGGGTGTCCGACTCAACCTCAACAACAAGGGCTTCAAATGCCCAAACCAATCCAAACACCCAACCAAGGGTTGCTTTAAAAGGGGGGACGCAAGTGGTCGTCCTTTTGGTTTCCTAGCAAAACCTGCACAGGGTATCTCTCGAGACCCGGAGAACCCGAACCCCAGTTCCACACCTCGTTGCATTTGCAGAAGCCCCACTTCTTCTTGCCTGGGCTCGCTGACAACTTGGCTGCCTATGGCCTACTTGGCTGGTTGGTAAGTTGGTTAGACAGGTAGCTCGTGAGTTAGTCAGTTACTCAGTCAGCCGGTCAGTCGGACGGTTGGTCTCTCGGTTGGTCGGACGGTTGGTCTCTTGGTCGGTCGGTCGGTCGGTCGGTCGGTCCAGGTAGTCAGTGTGTTTGTGTGTGTGTGTGTGTTTGTGTTTTTGGTGTTTTCGTGTTTGATTGTTTGTTTGATTGTTTGTTTGTTTTTGTTTGCTTGTTTGCTTGCTTGCTTGCTTGCTTGCTTGCTTGCTTGCTTCCTTCCTTCCTTGCCTGCTTGCGTGCTTGTTTGTCTGTACTTGTTAGGTAGCTCGTCGGGTATTGACCTAGTTGGCTACTTAGTTGAGAGACTTTGCTAGTTTACTTGGCTAGTTGGGAAATTAAGTGTTCTGTTGACCGTTGGAAATGTGCATCCAGAAGGTTGAGCGCGATCAAAATGTGATTTCGGCCAAAGCGAACTTCATCCACTTAGCGTAGAACGATGTTTGTCGTGTTGCAAAGGCAAAAAAACAATCCAGTCAAGTTGTGTGAGTTTCTTGCAGATCCGCAGTTGGGGCAGCCTCACAATCAAGGTCATGTTTGGGTTCCAAAAAAAAAAAAAAACAGACCAAACAGCGGCCCAAGGGTTGTCACTCGCCAAACTGGTGGCAAAAGCAATTGAAGGTGATTGCTCCGGGCAAACCAAATCAAGCCTTCGGGCCAAGAAGAGAGCAACAACAAAAAACACGCGGCTTGCCCCCCCCCCCGAGGTTGTTTTTCACCGAGGTGCCGTTCTGCGTGTAGCACCAGGGCTTCCCAGCGGACTCCACCTCGGTGCACTCGAAGTACTGCTTGCCCTTGAAATAGAAGGGGAAGCGGCAATCCTCGGTATGCCACAAACCATCCGCGGTGAGGTCGAGGTGTTTGTGCGTGTTTGTGCGTGTTTGTGCGTGTGTGGTGTGTGGTGTGTAATGTGTGGGGGGTGTGGGGGTGTAGGTGTGTGGGTGTGTGGGTGTGCGTGTGTATTTTGGTCGAGGATGCACAGAAAAAGGTTAGTTTGAAGGAAGACGAACAAAGGATGAACCACGGTTGAAGATATTGGTCTGTCTCAAAATGGGGAACTCGCACAAACTGGAAGCTTCCCTTCGGGTTTCCCGTTCAAACCACTCCAACACGGGGTTGATTGTCAGTACTAGACACATGATTGAATTCCTTGACACAGACACCACAGACATCACGCGCCAGGACGTCTTGGCAAATGTTGGCTTGAAAAAGATTTGATCTGGCAGAGTGCAGATTCACCAGGCTAAGGAACCCCAAGGAACAAACCAACTCCTGGGGTAAAATCGGTCGCAACCATGAATCCTCCACGCGAATGCGGGGGCACATACTGCCGGCACGCGATGAAATTGGTTCCCCCTTTTTCACCGCAACCGGTCCCCAATATTTCCGGGCATGTACACGGGGCACGCGGTTTTCCTAATTTCCAGGGCAACGGTTTTCGGACCCGAGACAACTCGCGCGCTCCCGGAATCCCGTCCGGCCAAAGGGCGGCGCCCTCGGCGGTGCCCCCACAAGTGGGGATGGGCTCCTCGCGACAAATCGAAGCATCTCCAAAACGCGGGGAAAACGGGCAACGACGTCCTTGACACCAAACCAAGTGAGAAACAAACAATGAGGTCGAGTATGTTAGAGAGGACGCCCTCTCTAAGAAGGAACAAAAGGTTCACGGGTGGAGGGAAGAGGAAGGACAAACAAAAATGGTCCTGTCTACATGCCTGCACACGTGTAAGATGGTGCAACGGAAAAGGATCTCTGGTCCGGAAGTCTGAGTCTGGGCTGGGCTGTCGATTCACCGTTATATGTGAAAGAACAATGAAAACTAACCAGTGTCTGCTCAAGACTTGAATCTGAACATCCCCCCCCCAGCCAAAACCAGACCAAAATAACACCGGACACGGCTCCTGCGACGATGCGACGAACAACCCCCTCCCCAAATCAACCCCCCCCACCCCAAACCCAACTACCCCCTGCTAACCCCACTGCCAGCCAACCCCCCCTGCCCACTGCCAACCCCCCCCCTCCCCCCCGTTCCATGTGGTAGTAGTACAAGGTGAGGCCGTGGTCCGTGGCCGGGCCAGTGCACACCTTGCCCGAGCCCTCGCCCCCCGTCTCCGCGCGGTCCTCAGCCGACGGAACATGCCGGACGTGCTGCGAGGGTCGAGGGTCCGTGAGCAGAGTGGAGGTAGCACGGGTTCAAGACTGGATCAAGTAATCATTCGTACTAAAAAAAAGGTCATCTTCAAAATCCTTTGGCTCTTAAATTAACACTTGAACTACCTGATAAATTTGAGATTGGTTGTTCAACATCAGGATTTTGCGTTTGGTGTGGATTCAGCCAGCATAAGGCGCGTGCAGTTCTTCCGCCACCTTCGAGCGCTTCAAGCATCAGCTAGTTCAAGATTTTCAGCCAAATATTTTAGGTACGGCGTTGCTTGTTCTAGCCAGCCACAAATTCAGACGCGCACATTCCCTGGTTAACGGGTGGGCAAATCATGGCTCAAAGTGGAGAAGCCCATACATGACCTTCAGCGGTCTGTTACCCCTCAAAGGGCATCCCAACCCACATGAGCTGTTGCTCAGCCGGACTCTCACTTCTCTTGTACTTTGTGGTTGGAGCCTTCCATGGTAGGTGTTTGGGAATAACATCGCAAACTCCACCGGAGCAAAGGACCAAGTGGAAGCCCATAGCACAAACAGGAAGCGGCTTAAACATGAACAGCTGAAGCTATCTGAAGGGCGACTCGAACTCACCCAAGCGAAGCGGCCTCCCCATCGCAGCACCGCCCTTTCTTCCGGCAGCGCCCATGGCTGGGCGAGTCATCTCTGGCAAGGTAGGCCCGAGGGGCCTGTACAGAAAAGTGTTCTTGGGCCTGCAGGCTCCGGGGAAATACCGCTAAACTCAGGTTGTCTGCTGGCAGCTTTGCTGCTCCGTCTGGCCTCAGCCCATCAGAAGTTGATGTTCCCGGCCTGCTTGATGTTCTCCTGGTGCGTCTTGAACGCGTGCTCAATCTTCCAGATCCCCTCCTCGGCTGCAGTCCTCAGAGCGGCTCTGTCAATCGAGCCCTTGTTCAACGCGTCCGCCAGCATGTCTCTAGTGTCGATCCACATCAGGCTTTTGACTTGGCCTGTCTTCAACCACTCCTTGAACTTCAAGGCGTGGATCAACATGATGGCGTCCGTGGGCGTCTTCACTTCTTTGGCTGCCAAAGCCCGGAAGACGGCATCTGCATCGATGGCCACATCTAGGCCTTCTGTGATCTTGCCGCACTCGAGCTTGTCTGCCATGTGTGCTGCTGATTGCACACCATTGGTGATCTCATTCACCATCATGCATATGTTCAAGCCCAAGCCGACCATATCCAGCGCGCTGTAGAGCTCCGCCGTGAACGTGCTCCGGCACACGCGGGATTGCTTCTTGGAGATGTACTCCAAGACCTGTATCGGATTGTTCCCGACAACCGGGCCCTTTGCGCTAATCAGCACAATCAGCCCGCTCCTCACTGCCAAGTGGTCCTGGTCCTCACCGCGGTAGGCCGAGTCGGTGATGGCCATAATCTTCAGGGGACCAGTGATCTTGTGGTAGACCAGTTTCAGGGGGTTCTGCTTGATGTAGCGAACCAGCCTGTTCAACTTCAAGAGGTCCTCCACCACCGGAGATTGCAGCTTCCGCTGCAGGGCGCTCACGTAGACGATGATGTCCATCCTGGTTTGCGTGGTCCAGGCAACACCGCCCAGAAGCGACATGTAATACTTGTGGTAGTCCGGTCCCACCAACTGTTCTTTTGGTTGCAACTTCAACTCCTCCTCCGGGATCAGCCTCAACTCGCTCCTGGCTGATCGTCACCATGCCATCCGCGCTCGTCTCGTGTTTGAGTCCGAGGTGGGTGAAGTTGCCCTTCTCGACCTTCATGCTTTCGAAGCGATCTTCCAGCTTCGCGATCACGATCTTAACGATCTTATCCTCTCCGCAAAGCTTCAAGTCGTCGACGTGAACCGTCACAACGAGCACCAAACATCCCCGCTCATGCCGCACGAAGGTCTGCGGGTCGATCGTGGTCGGCGTGACCCCAATTTCAGCGAGGGCACGCCTCAAAGCCAACAACCACAATCTCGGTGCGTCCTTGAGTCCAAACCCAGGTCTGAGCAGCCTCAGGACCTCGACCTCGGGGTTGAAGTCCTCATAGCCCGGCTGCATGCGCAGCAATGTCTCTCCGCCTGGAGGCAGCTCCAAAGCAACTTCTCTGCGGTCTTCACCAGCTTCGGCCAGCTCCTCAAACGTCAGCCCTCTCAGGAATGCTTCACTGACATCCGCACTGTGAAGAGTCCAGCCTCTGTTGACCGCCACCGTGATCAAGATCCGCTGTGACCACTTCGTGGAAGTTCCAGCGTAGTTGCTTGTGAGCTGGGCGTCCAAGAAGCCTTGTGCCACCAACCTGGCCTTGATCTTCTTGTCGGCGTTCTCCACAGCCTTCCACTTCAAAACCCACTTGCTGCGCAGGATGTTCTTCTGACCATGTTTGGCCGTTCTAGTTCTAAGCACAAGTCATGATCCAGCGCTGCAGCTCCTGCACCATGGACTCGCGGCACTTCTCAGCGTTGACCAGTGCTTCTTCACGTGTCAGTACATTGTGCTCGCGCTCGATGGCTGCAAAGGGCTTGTCGTTGGACAGCAAAACCAGGGCTGTGTCCTGCTTGCGCATCTGACTCATGAGCTTCCGGATGTTGCCGGTGGTGTAGACCAGAACTCCATATGTCAGCTCCAGCTCTGCGGCTTCTTGAAGCTCACCAGCATTCGTCACCTCCGGCATCTCCATGAAATCTGCCACCGCTGGGACCGCAGAGACAAAGGCTGTTCCTCGTTCTGGCTCACTACCCGGCTCATCAGGCTCTTCGGATTCTGCAGCGTTTTGACTCGCTGCTTGCTCTTCCTCTCCAGGCTCATCAGGTGCTGGTTGGGCATCAACGATTGCCCTCACCTTCCTTTTTCGCACGAGGTCTTTGTCTTTGACCTCAACCAGCTCGGGGGCCTGCGGTTCGTGTGGGCCACCGATGTGTGGAGTGTCATCCACCTGAGTCCGTAGTTGCCGTACTTCTTCGTCATCATCCATGAAGTACTGCACGAAAGCCACCTGCTTCTGCTCGGTCAGCCTCTCCAAGCTGATGTACTTGGTTCCGGTGATGAAACAGTGATTCCACCTCCGAAGATCACCGCACTGCCACCACACGATCAACGTGTCGTCATAGACCGTCGCTGGGAGGCCATTGACTCCATGTCCGAACCTGAAACCAACAGTGCCCTGAAGATGTAGGCACACTCCGGCAACATAGAGTCCGGCATTGAGCACCTCCGCATAGTGCCGGTTTCCTTCACACGAAACCCAGCATGCTCCCTGCTTGAACCAGCCCAGCCGTAGAGCTTCTCCTCGTTGAGCTTCCACAGCATCACGTAGAAGCCGCACGGGATTTGATGGCTGTGCGAGGAAAACCGCGAACACAAGGGCTCTCCGCACATCTTGAGTCCGCACCAACAACTGCCTGCCCTGCCAGCGCACATACACGATCCCTTCCCTGAGGCTTGACAGATCAGAGACCGTGGCAGGGCCAACCCAGCCGCTGGCGTCCTTCGTAGTTGGCCGCCTGAAAATCTCAACCAGGTCGCCAATCTCGAGTTCCAAAAGTTCCGCTGACCGTCTCACCTTGGCGCGGTTCGCAATGAGCAGCTTCTGCTGAGCTGCGGCTTGAATCATTGAGCTCACTGCTATCTGCCGGATCCGAGCTGCGTCTCGTTCTGCTAGAGGTGCTGCTGCATCGTGCGCCATGACCTGCAACAATGGTGGAGTTCTCCCGAAGACAGCCTCGTGGGGTGTGGTGTTGCCAACAGTGAACAGAATGTTCTTGGCATAGATCGCCTCGCCGATCAGTGTGTTGATGCCGATCGGGAGGCCTTCGTTCTGAGCCTGCGTGTCAATCAAATGAAGTTGACGTCGTAGCAGCTCATTGTGTCGCTCCACCACTCCACAATGCTGCTCCTTCGCCACCAGCTGTAGGTTAATGCCACGGCGACTCATCTGCTCCGCCGCATAGTCCGTTGCCAAGGCGCCTTCCTGGTCGGACATCAACGTTTGCGGCGGTCCAAAGAAGCGAATCCAGCAGTTGTCCATGGCCGCCAGGATCGAGTCGGCCGTCCTGTCGGGGATGACCTCCGCTGCTGTCCATCGAGTCGTCATGTCGACCATGTGGAACAGCACGTAGTCCTTGTAGAACAGCAAGTCGCACTGCGCAATCATGTTCATGGCCTCTGGCAACTTTGATGATGTGGCCGCCTTGATGCCCGGCCGTTGCCATGCCCTGCAAACTGCGCATGTGTCAACCACCTCCGACACCAGGGCCAAAACCTCACGTGAGGTTCCTGCTGCAGAGAGAAGAGCTCGCATCTTGGCCGCTGAGCAGTGATACCACCGGAGGTGTAGTCGCCGAAGTGCACGACGTACCACTCCTTCTCGCACGCTCCGTAGTGCTTGCAAAGCCGCTCCGAGGTCAAAGCGCGACCATTCTGGTCCTTGAGGTTCTTCCGGATCTGAACCTTCGTCATCTCCATCTCCACCATCATCGGGTGCAGGGGGTCCGCCACCAGGCTTGACCAGCTTCTTCTCGGAGCGTTCCTCAGCTTGTGTACCAGCGTCTGCTTTGCGTGTTCTGGGTCCACTATCTGCGGCCTTCAGCACTCGCCTTGCTTCAGGATCTGCGGGATAATCCGCAACTTCACCAGCTGGCTCACGCCGGATTGTCAAGGGTTTCGGCTTTGCTGCGGGATCGCCAGGAACTCCACTCTCTCGCCTGGGATCGTCGCTCAAAGTGCTGGTCGGATCTCTGCAAGCCGGCACTCGTCCATCTCTAGGATGAGACCCTCTTCGTTCTCTCGTGCCTCCAGCTGGCATTTCACGTGCCACTGCCCATTGGCAATCTGGACCAAGGGTGTGTGTGCGGTGCGCCCGATGTCGGTTTGCCCTGCATGCTGGACACCTCCAATCACTTGGCTCAACATGTTTGAACCGGCAGTCGCCACTGCGTGAGTGTCTCTTGTCGTCTTGACGAAGATGTCCACGACAGCCGGGTGAATG